AAAAGGGGAATGGTGGATCTCTTTAGCAGACCCCCCCCCCCGCCATGAACATCATCCGTGCTCCAAGCCATAAAGACATGCAAGATCTCCTGGTTGCGCGCACAGTTAAAGGAATGGAATCAGAGCCAGCTTACAGATGTGCGGGGCCATCACCCAAAAATGGAGTGAAAAGCGCTGATCATCCGAAGAGGTGGGAATAATGCAGGAGTTACTCCGTCCAGGCTCTGGATGGAGGCTGGGTAACACCTGGGGTGCAGGCACGTTGAAGCCCAAACGGAGCAGCAAGGTGTTTTCTCGTGTCGTTACATTTAGAGAAGTAACCAGGCTGTGTCTGGCAGAGTGACAAGGCTCCTTCTTTAATGACTCATTTCAGAAGAACAGCTTTGATAAGCAACAATTTTGCACTTTGCTGTGATTTCAGAGGGTGTGAACTAAAAAAAAAAGAAAGAAAGAAAGAATCAAAGGAATCAATTGAGCCCAACTCAGAATGGAGGCCACATGGCTGCAGGCTCAGCCTTATGCTGCAAGCCAGGAGAGGGACACACTGCGGCCCATGTGCCATGGGGAAGACCAACACACGCAGAAATGGAAGCGCCTGCAGCAAAAGCCAGGTTGGCTCCGTACATGTTGTCAAAGCGGTGGTTAGGATTTCAGTGTGACTGTAAGGATGGCCTCCTCCCACTCACCTGCTACATGACTCATCCTGGTGATCTCATCCAGTAAAACTAGGAAGGTGCTACCCGTCTGGCTGGGCTGAAAGGCAGGGCCACAGCTGCACAGGGAGATGCTGACCTAAAAAGGTGATGCTGCAAGTGAAGATGTGCAGTACGAGTTTCATGGCGTTCAGTTGTGAACCTCAGACCAGGCTGGGAGGGAACCCGTGTTTGGGGTACCAAGGTGGAGAAGTAGAAACTTCTCCTGTTTCCTACCTTCCCTTTCAGGGGCAGCCAGCTCAGCAAGGGAAAGGCAGCCGGTGTGCCCATGAAGCGCTGGTAATCATGTTTTAGTATCCTGAAGTGCTCAGAGTGAAGCCACAAGAGCTCCAGAGCAGGATCTTATGGGCTTTTAGCATCTCTGCGACAGCGTGAAGTGCATGCACTGCATGTCTTACCTTCCACCTCTATTGGGAACATTCCCCAGCATCACCACCTTATTTTCTGGTGCTGTAAAAAACATCTGTACAGTGATCAAAATCAAAAGAATGAAAGACTGCCGTGGAAAGCCCTGGCACTCCAGTTTGTTGTCAAAGACCATTTTCTTTCCACTTCTACCTTGAAAGCAAACAATTTTGAGGCCCAAGAGAGTGCCTCTAGCCTGCCCACTGGGTTTTTGCGTTTTGCTTGCTCCTTCCATACACTGCTTTTCTTTCTCAGCTTTCTCTGAGCAGCTTAGGAGATGAAGACGAGCTTCAGAAAGGGTAGCTGAGGCTGCAGCCTGGGCTGCTGCTGCCCTCTCCTGGGTCTGAGGCAGCCAAGAGCTGATTTTTTAAAGAGGTTCCTGCAAGCCTGGGTGCAGGTCACCCTCAGCATGTCCTCTTGCAGCCTTGCAGGGGAAAGCGTTGGGGCAGCAGGTGGGGAACGGCCCTTGGAGGGTGCCAAGCTGAGGCTAGCCTGGGCTGCTGCTGCCCTCTCCTGGGTCTGAGGCAGCCAAGAGCTGATTTTTTAAAGAGGTTCCTGCAAGCCTGGGTGCAGGTCACCCTCAGCATGTCCTCTTGCAGCCTTGCAGGGGAAAGCGTTGGGGCAGCAGGTGGGGAACGGCCCTTGGAGGGTGCCAGGCCCAGGGATGCTGCCCAGGCTAGTACAAGGGTTGGCCTGGGTGCACCATTTGAAGACCTTCTTTCACTGGATCCCCTCACGACTCCTAGCAAAGTTTATGGCAGGAAGATGGATGATCAGCTTGGCTAGCCCTTGCAAGGGTAACAGCTATGCTAGCCCAATATTGTGGGAGCTCATGGTTTCTGGCCTCAGTTGCTACCTGTTCTCTCCAGGATAGTTTTATTGATATTAAACTAAAAAGCCTTCAAAATAAGATGTCACAGCTGATTACTTGTATGCCAGACAAGTCCCCGACTCCCTCCTCCAGTCCCTCACCCTGACTTCATTGCCAACTGAAACAAAACCTCCCACTTGCACCTTTTGCTTTGGCTTGCCCATGTTGTGGGTCTCCCCCACCCAGGACCCCATCCTGGCCGGAGGGCTGTGCACACAGATGGGTGAGCTGGTGGCCACTGCACGCTGCCAGTGCAAGAGGGACCTCACCCCAGCTTGCTCCTGCTGCAACGACGTGGGGGCACCCCCCCTACCACCACCACCTGAGCCTCTGGAAAGCTCCTTGTTGATGCCTCTCCGAAAAGGGGCCGAGGAATGATGGAGCCTCCCCCGTGGCACTGAGAGCATTTAATGCAGCAATTGGCTAATGGTTTCAAAAGCCACTTAGTGGCTTATTATGGTATTATTGCCTTGTGAGTGGTTGGAAACTCAGCACTGGAGGGCTCAGACACTCCGAGGTATTTGTGCAGGCCCTGCTTTCTTTTCAATGGAAGCACAGGAGAAGGTGGTTTCAGTGGTCTCCCTCTACCTACAGTCTGCCCAGGAGTGGGAGACTTGGAGTCAGTGATCTGGACCCCCATCTCCTGTGAAAGTCTGCCCGCCTGTAGCCTAAAGGAGAATAAAGCCCCAGGACAAAGGCTGGAGCTGAAGTCCTCCCTACCATGTGAGTGCTCCAGCCTGTGGGTATAAAACAATCACATTTTGGATACCAAAGATCTTTCCAGCTGTGCTACCACACTGTGCTGCAGGGCCACAAAACACCATGGTGGCCAGGAGCAGAAGATGGATAGCCATGACTTAGTGCCAGACCGATGCGAAGGGAGCTGTGTGCCCTGCACACCCCTGAATGATAGCACAGCGCTTGGTGGGTGGATGATCCTCACCTTTTAATTACTCATGAGCCCAAATTTTTCCTTTTTTTTGCTGGAGCTCACCCATATTGAAGTTGGCTTCACACATGCAGCCACTCATGTCACTCCAGGTATTTAAAAGCCAAATTAACCCACTTTTACTTATTGAAAAAAATCAAATGTTTGAAGAGCTAGGGAAGAGAGGAGTTGCTGCGATGTGACCAATCTCCCTGGCCAGGGCAGCCAGATGCAAAAGCTGCAAAGCCCAGGCGTGAGGCCACCATGAGGGCCAAAGGGACGCTGGCCAGGTGGGAGCTGTTTCTCGCTGCTTGTGCAGAGCAGCCTCTGACCATGCGGCACCTCTGGTCTTGGTGGCTGTGCCGGGCTTGCTGGGCCTGCTGGCTGCTGTAAGAACAAGCCACGTGGGCAGTAATTCTTCCCACAAATGCTCTTCCAGTCAGGGATGGACTATTAAATATGAAGTCCCTGAGCCACAAATCGTGCCCCAGATGGAACTGCTAGACTATTTATACACTCCTGTATAAAAGCCACTGTAGACCTTTGGCTATCATCTCTATTGCTTTTTGAATGTTTTCCAGTCCGGCTATATCCTTCTGAGATGGGGAGAGCAGAAATGCAGTCAGTGAATTATGGATGTGTAGAGGGCTGTAATGATGTTCTCCCTTTTACGGGCTCCTCTTTTCCAAATAATTTTTAACATGCACCTCTCAGTTGAACAGCTTTTGGACTATCTGGTAAAGCTGAGCTCTTATTCCAGGGAGGGAATAGCTTGGTGCACATTATGAAACTGTAAAGAGAAGAAAATAGGAAAAACACATTTATCCCCATTCAATACCAGCTGCCATTTTATTATCTGCTCACACAGTATCACAAATTGTTGTTGACCCTGAATCATCAATGGTCTTGTTACCCCACAACCTGAGTGGGAGGTGGAAGCAGTGATGTGGAGGGTTGAAGAGGCTGACACCAGCACCAGGGTTTTGCCCAGCCTGGACGCCTGAATCCTCCCCAAAATGCTGCTTCGTCCTTCCCATCCTCTCTGCTCACTCCTCATCATCCTCCCCAGCAGCCTGGGGGGGAGCGGGAGGAAGGCAGGAGGCAGATGATGCTGGGGTGTGCAAGGAGGGGACCAAGGTGGTCAGTCCTGGGAATGGAGCAGTGGTGGCCTCAGCCATTCCCAGACCTGGAGGGAAGCGGTGGTGGCCCTGGTGGTGCTCCCCAGCCTGGCTCCCCATCCCACTGCATGCTGGACTGTGGCTGAGGAGGGTTCATCCCCATGCCCTGGAGTGGTGATTGATGGGGCAGGAGGTATGCAGGGAAGCTTTTCCACCTGCTTCCCCTCCATCTCCCCAACTCCTAGCAAATGCTAGCGCAGCCTCCGGGCTGCCTGGGAGCTCTTCTCTCCATCCCTGGGGGGGGCTGCAGGCAGGACGTTGAGCAGCTGTGGCTTGCCCCTTGCCCTTGGGGGGGGACTGAGTGGGACGGTGCACCCAAGGCAGCTCCACCCCCTCTGCACAGAGCAAAAGCCTCTTGTGTGCAGCGGAGGGAGGCGTGATGTGCAGCAGTATCAAACGAGGAGCAAATTCTTGATGACCTGAGTACTTAAAAGCCAGTGTGGTATCAAACCCTCCAGGGTCTGAACCCTTTTGTCCCACGCTGACAGGCTGGAATAGAAAAACACCTCTTTTCCTATCCTCACCCTTTAGCAAGAGCAGTGCATGGGTTGCTCTTGGCCCCACGCCCCCCAGCCCTGCCCGCAGCAGGATTTGCAGAGCTGGTTGGGTTGTGGTGTGACAAGCTGCTTGATGAAGGCTTTGAAAGGCTTTACCTTACCTGCTCATCCTCACTGTCCATAACTGGTCCCACACACTGGCCATGCTGTTGGGTTGAGGTCCTGCTGCCCTAGGCCATCTGCCTGCCGGCAGCGCTGCCGGTGGCCCCATTTTCCCCTTGCTCCATCCTGAGCACCAGGACTCGGTCTGCTGAAATCCCCATTGAGGTGGGATTACTGGGCACTGTCTGGAGCTCAGATTGCCAGCAAGGTTTTTCACATCCCCTCTTGTTTAACTTGATTTTTGCAGTCTTAGGCAGAGGACAAAGATTTGTAGAAAATAAAAATCGGGTAGGGTTGGGAGTCTGGCACGAGCTATGGGTATGTGCCCAGGCCAGGGGGTTTCACTGTACTGAGAGCCCCGTGTGGGTGCAGGGTGCAGCCAGCGCTGCTGCCTGCGGGTGCCCAGTGGTCCTGCTGCAGCCCCTGGCCCCAGCACAGCGAGGAGGACTTGCCCTGCAGCTCTTTCCCACCTGAATGTCTCCCTGCTGCTAGATGGCCACAGGTTGCCCATACAGGAGAGCCTACTTGAGCATCAGTTAGAGGCTTGCTTGCCAAAACACCAAGGCTTGGTGCCATGGAGCTCCCTAGGGAGTACAAGGAGATATCTTCAGGGGCTGAGCAGCTCATTTAACTCCTGGAAGGCTTCATGCTGGGTGAATTGGTTCATTGCTAGATGTTTGGGACACTGCTTTGCCCTGCCTGGGCTAGGAGACAGCCATGCTTCTCTGCTCAGCCTAATACTTCAGGCACGAAGAAAGAAGAGTAGGTCAAGGAGCTATTAGCAACGTGGCTAATGGCCAGGAGTGGATTGAGGTGAGGTGGGACCGGGAAGGTCCCAGCTGACTGGATGTGATGCCCATCTACAATAAGGGCTGGAAGAAAGATCTGGGGAACTACAGTCCTGTCAGCCTGACCTCGGATCTGGGAAAGGTTATGGAGCAGATCATCTTGAGTGCCATCACACGGCATGTATAGGACAACCAGGTGATCAGGCCCAGTCAGCATGGGTTTATGAAAGGCGGGTCCTGTTTGACCAACCTGATCTCCTTCTATGACCAGGTGACCCACTTAGTGGATGAGGGAAAGGCTGTGGATGTGGTCTACCTGGACTTCAGTAAGGCCTTTGACACCGTCTCCCACAGCATTCTCCTGGAGAAACTGGCTGCTCATGGCTTGGATGGGCATACTCTTCGCTGGGTAAAAAACTGGCTGG